GGACTTACGCTGTTTAGCTTGAAAGGGATTTTCAATGCGTTCGAAGTGGTTTTAGCGTCAGTGAGTACACACCTCACGTTCCTGAGGTTGCCATCACCCTTGCCCTGGCATCTGACATCCGTCTCACGATCGTGACATGAGGAGACTACCTAACCCCCTGACTACCACATTGATGCGACTCACCTATAAAGCTTCACTGACTCCGAATAGGCCATTATCTACGGTACCTGCACAGTAGTATACAACATCTTTTTCCATCCTCTCAGGCACATCCCTGGTCCCCTCTTCGCACGCGCCACCGGTCTATGTTTCGCGCTACACATACGCGATGGTAGTGTGGTCAAATGGATCAAAGAATGCCACGAAAAATACGGCGATGCAGTGCGTCTAGAACCGAATGAAGTCAGTTTCATCTCAGGAGAGACTGCGTGGCAGGATATCTACGGCCACAAAACGGATAGAAGCAGAAACTTTGTCAAGGACCTGAAGTGGTTGTAGGTTAATTTCATTTGAAGCTATGAGCGAGAAAACGCTGATGACAAGATAGCCCCCGGCCTGTCAATGGCGTCTTGTCACTTCTCATAGCAGACGAAGAGGGGCATCCGCGGATGCGACGTAGCTTATCGCACGCTTTCAGCGACAAGGCTCTACGAGGACAGGAAAGTCTCATACAGTCTTATGTTGATCTTCTGGTACAACGCCTGGGCGAACACGCTGCCGAGGACACGGATGTCGATATCAGGACATGGTACAGTGCGTGATCCAAGTAGCGCTCTCTTCTTCAGAACTCAGACTGACCATATATGACAGACTTCACGACCTTTGACATCATATCCGACCTCACATTCGGCGAACCCCTCTACTGCCTCCGCGACTCCAAAGAACACCTCTGGATCTCCATCACCCTCCGCAGCCTCCAAGCCATCGCCCTCCACGTCTCACGAGGCAAGCACTTCACATTCCGCTACCTCGACCTCATCCGCAGTCTCTTCACCGACAACACAGGCCCCATGCGCGCACGCTACGAATTCGCGAAACGCGCACACGACATGGTCAGCAAGCGACTCGAGAAGATCCAAAGCGGAGAGGACACACGCCCCGATTTCTTCACGCACATAATCAAGAACCAAGAGAAAGAAAGCACACGTCTCACCCGCGCGGAAATGGATAGTAATGCTGTTTCGTTCCTCATCGCAGGCAGCGAGACGAGCGCTACGGCTCTGGCGGGTGCGACGTACCTCCTCCTCCGCAACCCACAGCCGTACAGGAAACTCGTTACAGAGATCCGGTCGCGCTTCTCCTCTGCGGACCAAATTACCGTTGACGAAGTCAATAAATTGGATTACCTCATTGCTGTCTTCCAGGAAGCGCTGAGGTACTACCCGCCTGCTGCTACAGGCCTTGCTCGTGTGGTGCCGGCGGGTGGTGATCGGGTGTCAGGCTACTACGTCCCTGGCGGGGCGTCGGTATATGTGTCGATGCATGCCATGGGCCATTCTGAGCGTAACTGGCGGGATCCGGATGCATTTGTGCCGGAGAGGTGGTTGGGAGATGAGCGGTACGCGGATGATAAGAGGGCGAGCCATCAGCCATTTAGCTTTGGGCCGAGGAATTGTATTGGGAAGACGTATGTTGCACCCTCTCTACTTGCCACTTCTTGTTTCTACGGACGTCGGACTGACATCACCGTCTCTAGTCTTGCACATGCGGAAACGCGCCTCATTCTCACCAAGGTGCTTTTCACTTATGATCTGGAACTCGTGGACAAAGAGAGGGATTGGATGGACCAGAAGGTTTTTGCGCTTTGGGATAAAGGGCCTATGATGGTCAAAGTGAAGCCTGCACAGCAGCCGTGAGGTGTGGTGTTGCAGCATGACGCGTTGGCATTGTCGATTTCTTTTCGGGCTAGCTGACTTGCCACAACGGAGGCATGTGTTGATCTTCACGAATGGGAATGCGATTTCGATTTCATCAGCGGTATAATGGAGTTAGATACTTCTATCATCTATAACGGTTCCGCTTCACATTCATCTCGTGCGTTCCAAGACACTTCCTACAATGTGTAAATGAACTCTGGGTTTTCTCTGTCGGTAAGATCGAGCCATCTGCACTCAATATTAGCGCATGTACACATTGATAATGCATCTGAGCGATCAGACTTACTCTTGGTTCTCAAGTTTGACGTATCCAGGGTCAGCACGAATCAGCGCCTTCTTCTTATTCTGCCTGACGCAGTAGAAGTGGATGAATGCTATGATACCCAAGCAAACGCCATAACAGACGATGATCGTGATCTCGGCGGAGACGTAACGAGGCGCGTCTTGCTGGCGGAAAGTTTGGGGGCCTATATTCCATCATATTAGCCGGATTCGTCTCAAGCACAGAGGTAGCACATACCGATAATATTCCCAGCACAATACCCAATCAAGTACATAGCCGCCACAGTCGTTTTCTTCGTATAGCCCGCTACATTACTCGAGATTAGACTTAGCAAGGCGACGAATGGGGTGGGGCTGGCTTGGGTGAGATAGTAGCCAGCGAGGCGACCGGAGTTGTTGGTCAGAGGTAGTGCAACGATGAGGATCATGCCGACCATGGCAGTGGTAAGACCGATCATGGATATGAGGAGGCGGTAGCCGTATTTGTCGCCTGCCCAGCCGCAGGCAATGAGGAAGACGACTTCGACGGCGCCGCCTGGGGTGCCGTAGAGGAGCGACTCTTCTGGCGTGTACCCGAAGCCGACGATGAGTTGAGAGAAGAAGTTTGAGATGCCGCCTTGGTGGGGTGTCAGCAGTTGTTCTGGTCCGGCTTGTGGATGTTGGCTTACCATTGGGAATATCAGCGATGAGCGCGTAGAAGAAGAATGCCCAGCTCAACGGATCGACCAACGCCTCCTTCAACTGATACCACTTGAAGTGCTTGTTACCCACACCCTGCGCGTTAATCCTAATACGCTCAATCGCCAAAACCCGATCCTCCTTACTCAACCACCTACAGTTCAACTGGTTATCCGGCACTATCCACAGAAACGCGATACCAAGACACGTAGTAAGCAGTCCCGTAACCAAGAAAACAATCTTCCAAGGCTCCATGATAGTTCCGTACTTGCGACATCCCACAGCAATGCCATACGCAACGCAGCCGCCGAAGATCTGCGCAAAGCCGTTGAAACTGAACCAGATGGCTGTGCGTGAACCTTGCTCTTTCTTGGTGTACCACTGTGAGGTGAAGAGGGCGAAACCGGGGGTTACGGCTGCTTCGAAGACGCCGAGGAAGAAGCGGATGGCGATTGCTCCCGCGTAGTTTTCTACGGCTGCGAAACAGGACAGGACCAGGCCCCACATGATGATGTTAAAGGCCGCTTGGATATGTTAGCCCTATCGCAACACGCTGGAAAGCCAAAGCATGAAGTGGAAGGAGACGTACAGTATTTTCCCAAAGGCAAGACTTGCAGTAGACGCGTGGTAGGATACTCCCAAGCGATATATCCAAAGTAGAACATACTACCCAGCCACGAGTACTGGTCTCCAACGAGACCGATACCAGATTCTAGTATGTTGTCCGAAGGAGGGAGTTTCAGACCCATGATACTTGCGTAACTCAATGTGGTCTTGTCGAGGTAGTTGAGCCCGTAAACTATGCACATGATCTGTAAACATCGTTAGCTCGCTTCTAGTCATGCCAACGAACGAATCGATAATTTTCAGAACAGGGAAAAATGAACGTACGGGCATCATATGCATATCAATCTTCCTCAGCAGCGCTTTGCTCTTCTCTTCCGTCAACTCCACAACCTGACCCTCCATGCCCTCAAACGCCTTCATCGCCGCATCGGCATCGTGTGAATGCTTCAAGAGTTTCTCGTCGAGAACTTTCTTGAGGCCTTTGCCGTTGTCTTCGACAATCGGTTCTTTCTCGACATCCATGGGCGCGGGATGCGGTGAAGTAGGTGGGTGGTCGGTCGCTGACGCCATGACGTGATATCACGAGAGCGCTCGATCGCTTCAAATAGTCGACTCAACTAGAGAACAAAGATGCGCAACACTCAGTCGCAAAAGCCGTAGTCACAAACGATCCTATAAACCCACCCCAAAAGCCGACGCGACGTCAACGTCGACGCACAAACCTCCGTAAACGATAACCGACCTCCCCAACGCGCCATTGACGTCCGCCCATTCATAGTTGATAAGCCACCCCTGCATCTCCCTACACGCGATACGCTCACGCCCGCAAGTTGCCGTACCACTGCGGGGTATCTCTTGTGTTGATCCGCGGAACTACTCGAGATAGGGTCTGACACTACGTGATAGACAAGCGTACCTTCCGCAACAGGAAGCTGCGATGGGTGGCTAGTTCCGTTAAAATGGGGGTGATTGGGTAATTGCTGGGAGAGAAGCAGTGGAAGCTCAGCGGAGGCGTCAGACAAGGTATCGCAAGAGTCGCAAGAAGTCGGCTTGGTGATGATAGCGGGCTTGGCTTGTCTGCTGGACGGTGTGGGAGTTGATAGGGAGACAGGTGCGTGATGGTGATGATGTCAGTGCTGAAAGCTTATCGCTAGTCGCGATTAGACACGTTAAGCATAAAGCAACGTTAAAACTCTAAAGTGAACGTCAGGACAGTCACGGAGCGATCATATTCGAAAAGATTTGCATGCGATGGCGGTATGAAATTTTGTATTGCAGCAGCGACAAACATCATAGCTAGCGTGTCACGCATAACACTTCGTTGTATCAACAAAGTTGTGAAAAAGTACACCATGTAACTCCAGGCCCGATTATCGGCCGATGCTATGAACCGCGCATCTCCCCAGCCCCCAGGCTTATCATGATTTGGCCATGTAGCCGTGATACCCGAACGCCGCCCATATGCCGTTCGTAAATGCTGAAGACGACCACCCGTACTCAGAAAGAAAAGTGGGGAGTACAGATGTAGATGTGGAAGAAGAAGATCAAGAAGCCACTTGGCAGCGGCAGAAGAATAAGACACTAGTCGCGATGTCGCTATGATCGCACGAACACGCTGTTGAGCTTGTTCAACGCGCTGCTATCGGCAGCGGTGCTGTTTTTAGCAAGTCTCTCCGGTGCCAAGTCTCGGGGGAACCTCGTTGCAGTGTTAGGACTACGGCTACCAGAACGGCTGTTGTTCTGGTTGTCCTTATCTTGGGTTTCACCGTTGAGCAGCGACCCCAGTGTAGGAAGCGGTCTCGATGCTGCGGCTGCGGCGGTGCTATTTGACTCGGATGCCCGGGACTCGGACTTGTCGGAAGGCTCTGGTGTCGGTGGCTTGTTCGCACCTGCTGCGGCGGCCGTGCCGTTGATAGCTGGAAGTTGCGGACCTTGCTCGGGAATTGATGGTGTTGGTCCCGGGGGAGGCGCAGGAGCACTGGCACGTTGAAGGTGTTGCTGTTGAGCTTGCTCAGCTGTCGATGGTGTGCGAAGTGGTGGTGTCGCCATATATTGTTGAGCAGCGTGTGCGGCATGCGCTGCGTAAGCGGGGTGTTGCATCAGCATGGGATGGTGGCCTTGAGGAGCGTGAGGGTGGGCCATTGGCGGGCGGTCGAAAACGTGTTGTGGGTGGTATGGAGGCTGCGCGTAGACGACGCCCGGGTAGAAGTAAGGCTGGTGCGAGTAGTACATGGGAGGTGTACCGTTGGGTGGTGTGGGAGGATACATTGGTATCGCGTACATGGGTGCGACAGGGCCACCACGGGTATACGGCGAGGAAGGTGCCATGCTGTGTCCGGGTGCGTTGTATGGTGAGCCAGGCATGGGCCCGCGAGTGACGGCAGGCACAGTCTGGGTCTCGTTCACCGCCGACTCCGGGTACATGTTCTTTGGCGGGCGGATGTGCCGCAGTTGCGCATCGTTGGTTGGTTGTGGGAGGTTGTTGGAATTCGATCGCGAGTAGTAGCTGATGAGGTGGAGGTGCTGTCCGCTCTGGGTGGTGATGCTGAAGGACTGCTTCATGAGACCATCCGGCTTGTACCGGTAGCCGTCTGGTCCCTCGCCGTCCGATTCACCTGAGCCTGTGCCGTCTGGCGACTTTCCGCTCGCCCTCTTCGCTACTGGGGCTGTGGGAACTGCGCTGCCTCCCCGCTTGCCCTCCATCTCTCGGTACGTGAGGAAGCTGCCCGACACGCGACTGGCACTCCATGATTTTCCGTCGGTCCACCGCCTCATGCCGGCCTCGCGCTCGTCCCATACAAATACTGAGCCTGACTTGATCTGCTGGCGCTCCTTCTCGGACAGGCGGCGCTGTACCCGCGGTAGTATGCCGATGCGGCAGGCCTCAAACAGGATGATGGCATCGTTTGGCGTGCGAACGTGTCCGTGGTAGGTCTCCATTGCGAAGACGTGTGTGGGGGAAATATGTCGAAGATAGTGTGGAGGTGTCAAGACCTCATAGATGCTGTGTGGATCGCGTTAGTCCAAGCCATGGAACAAGCGCTTAAGGTTCAAGGCAATGCGACAGTTGCGGTAATCTTGGTATGCAGGGTTTCCGGCAAACTCGGAAATCGCGGTGCGCATAAATGTTGGAACATGGCAAACCAAGGAACGGCATGCCAGAGAGGGGGCAGGCAAAGCGGCACGGAGACACGAAACATAGATGGAGACTTACAATAGGGTGTGTGACTGTGACGGGGCGTGTCTGCAGAGCCGTCGCAACGTCTATATGGGGCAGTGCGATGAGGTCAAATGTGTCGAGGTCCGGTGACGTGAAACGGGCCGGCAATGAAACGGAGTCAGCGTCTGATAGGTGTGCGCGGCAGTGGTCCACTTGGTATAGGCGGCGTTAGGTGACGAAAGCTGGAAGTTGGGGAAGATGGGTCAGAGGGCGAAATCTTTGGAAAGCCATCAGCAGTCCTCCGCCCTCATGTACTTGCAGGCAGGCGGGCTTGGGACCCAGCAACGCTCCTTTGGCGTCTCTGGCCCTTTCTGGGCGCTGGGGTCGTCGTCTTGATCGCCCGCCGAGACGTGGAGTGGCGTCTGATAGCGAAATAAGGCGCACGACAAGCTTTATTTGGACCCCAGCTAGCTGCTCACTGGCCCTCCGTTCCAGCGGAGCCCCAGCAGCGTCTACCCACACACAGCCCCCAATATCTGCCATGCCGCCCTGTGCCACCAGCCAGCGTCCCCAGACGGCGTGAGAAACTGTTTGCAGCGACGAGCCCTCACCGCGGCTCCCACACGCCGGAGCCACGGCATGCCCAGCACCACCCAGCGCCTGGCGGCGTTGGCTCGCCCAGCCAAGCTTTGCGAGCCGGATAACTCTAAACGAATCTTTATTTTCGACAAGCCTTCGATCCCTTGGCAGCCCCACTCGGACCCCGGCGCTGACACCTCCCAAGACTTCGCGGTGTGGTCCATCAGTCCGTCAATCCGTCTTGTCCTGCTTGGCCCCCGCTAGCAGCAACACACCAAGCACAGCCAAGGCGTTCCAAAAGTCCGTGTCGTCCCAAAACCAACCCACGCTCGCGTCGCCCTCAGATTGTGGCAGGCCATGGCATGCTTGGCCTCGGTCCCCTAAGAAATCTCCACCTGTCGTGCTCTCGGCGCCCTTGGAAGCGGACAAACAACTGACCTGCGCGACAAAGGAGCCTGCCTAGTCCCGAAGGATGCCCTACACGCTCCGGCTAAGTGCAGAGTTTCTGTGCCGTCTGCTCACGCAAGTAGACGGCCGCCCGCAAACTTGTGGCATACGTGGAAACTGTACCCGCCAACCAAGCAGATTCTACACTCCGCTCATGGATCAGACATCCGCTCCGATCCACACCAACGTAATCCGGCGCTTGCAACTTCTCAGCTCATTCGCTTAAAGGCTCGGCCAGCACTTTGATTAAGCTTGGTGCCTGCGGTTTAAGCTTACCACCGTGCCACGAGGATCCGACTTACCCACACTGGCGGTATCACAGGGCCGTCGCTTCTCCGCTTCCAGAACAGAAGAGCTGAGCATCGGAGCTATGAGACTTCCCGCCCCTTGACTGTCATCGTGGCAGTGTTGCGCCATGACGAGATCCGACTTTGCGTAAAATCCTGCGGCCTACCAAGTGGACAGCGCAGCACCTTGTTCACCAGACCGTCTTTCTTCGTCAAGACTCATCCAAGCCCGTAGACTGCGGACGAGCACTTGTGCAAGATGCCATGGAACATGGCGTCTCAGCTGCCCGAGAGAGGTAAACCTCCGGGTGGAACCATTGGATCAGTCGCACTCAAGCCTGCCAAGTAGCAAACAGGATTGTTATTTCGATGGATGGCCAAGCCCGCCCTTCTCCACGTTCATACAACGCCCGCTGCTTGTCTTATCAGCTCACACCGTCGAAGCCGCGTCATCCGACTTGTCAAGCCTGCCCAGCGTTGGCTTCTCCACATACCGGATATTTACATCATGGATTCGCGATTGCAGGCAGCTACGTCGTGTCAATCACCAAGCACGAGTCTCAGGGAAAGCCTTCGTATGTCTTTACGGGCCGACATCTTTACTTCAAGATTACTGTGAGCATGAATAAACGGCGATCTGCGTGCGCTCAGTAATCTGTCTTTCGCTTACAGCTGCAAGGTTGCAGATAAGGTTGGCGCAGACTTAAGCATAATTTCCTTGCCGCTGCTATCCCCGGTGTTGGGTTGGTCCTCGCCAAAGACACCCCTCACAGCGATGAGTTGCAGCGCCCCATCGGCCGTTTGCCCGTATTCTCAATCCTTTCAGATCAGCTTCCACACGCAACGTGTCCACTAGCTATCTTCACATGCTGCTGCACCTGCCGAATGCGAAGCACTGGAGCGACTGCAAGCCCACGTGCTCTGAGCCGCAAGTCCAGAACTGCGCCATCGGAGCGTCGTACCGTATAGTGGCAGCCCCTAGCCCACGATTTGAGGGGTCGTCCGGAACCGGTGGAAAATTAAGGTAGGCCAAGCAATCGTTGGTCCGATAGCGCCCGATGATTCCCCCAGGTCCCCAAACCTTTCCTCGACGACCGGCGCTCTGACGGCCTGTGTTTATCCGTGCAGGGCCGGCATGCCTTACAGCGCCTCACCACCGCGCGTCGAGCCGCTCTTGATGGAGGGAATTCGTTGCGAGTCCGAGAACCCGGTTTCGTGGTGCCATTATGCAAGTTGCTCAATCTATTGTTGCCTGCTCATTTGCTTCGTCTGTGCCACAGCGCCATACCAAGCACTCAACCGCGCCAAGGAGCCTATAGTGTATCGATATTTGCCCGCGACATGGAACCGCGGGCCTGCTCTTCTGGAAGCCATCTCCATCTATTTCCGCATCCAAATGATGCATGAGCAATATGACCGTCACTTCGAGTTTGTTGGACGTGATACAAAGCCGGTGGCAGCAGCCGCCTCGCTTCTGCAGTCCACAACTCCACTATGAACAGCGTACATACTCCACCTCACGTACCTAAGCGATGTGTTGGAATAGCGGACTTGCTTACGACAAGCCTTGGTGTGTGAGATCCATACGTCGCCCGCCATCCTGGTACCAACGCATCATCTCACCTCAGACGCTACACTCCACGACGACCTCTCATCCCAGATCGCTGCCCTGATTACTGATGCCCAGGCATACCGAATCTCAAACATACTTTGCAGGTGCTTGCTGCATACACACACCGGTTCGTGCCTCTCCATTGAGTTCCCCGCTCGAACATGCGTTCTGAAACAGAACGTGTTTGGCCGGACAAAGAGTTGTGGAAGAGATCATCCGTGGACCTCGTTTGATAGTCCCGAGTTATCCGCGACGGCATGAAGGATCGCAGCCTAAGGATGCGTGGCGTTGCATCCTACGGCTTGGCTTGGGGCTTGGTAAGTGCTGGGGTGTTGGGTGGCGCACATGGACGAATGCTCGAAATTGTCGATTTCACTCGCATTGCCAGGGACTGACGCATTTACGGGAGCTTTAGAAGACAACAGTCGTGAGGTTGAAGGGTGCAAAAGCTTCATCATGTCGCCCCAGTCTTGCGGCTACACACCGATTGCGGTTTATTGATAAATACCATACTGACCGCACTCAAAGAACATCTCCCTAGCAATCATCTGTGACCATGTATCGTTCTCCATCAAACTCGGCGTCTCACTCTCTCCCACCTCCTGTCTCACAGACGTTAGCCGCCATGATCCCATCCCAACCAACACCTCCAGAACAACGCTAGACCAGACCACAAATCTCCATCACTGTAGCGCCTTATACAAGGGAAAAGCTAAACACCCTAGAGCCTACATTAAGATAAAAACATGCAAAGTGGGTAGGCTAACGTCAACGTAGGCTCTAGGGTATTTAGCTTTTCCCTTCTATGATGTGGTAGTCACAATATGCTGTAATACCACGCCCCTCTCCACACCACCTCATCCCCCCTAGAAATCACAGAACACACTCGGAGCAAAGAACTGATCCCTCCCACACTTCATCGCCCCAACCTCCATATTTTTCTTCGAATCCTCGCGACAACCAATCTCCCTCTGCGGGCAGAACAACCTCCCTAGATTATTCCCGTCACACTTGTATGTGCACGCCTCACCCTCAATATCCAGCTTGGAAATCCCCCCAGGGAACGGCGCCTTGCTATCGGGACCGGGACGAGGCGTCTCATCGGTATCCGCAACGATTTCCTTGCCGTCAGTCTCACCGCAACTGCCCACGGCTTTGCCGACGCTGGTGGTGTAGAACTTCCACTCGTGGTTGACGCTGACAGATGTGCCGTGGCCGGAGTAATGTGTGACCATGGCGATGGATAGAGACCTGCCTTTGCTGGGCTTTGTACTGGCCGGGCCTACTGAACAAGAACCGCGTCATAGCAGGGAGGTATGTCTGAATCTTCAACCGCTTCTTCGTCTGTACCATGTCGAATGGTGCGTCGAAGTGTCGCTGGAGGAGTTCTTCGTTCCGTACCAGGGCATCGCCTTTGACCATACACCACGATGATACCCCGCTACACGACGCGCTGTTCACGCCATATGCTTTCGTATACGACACTGGCATCGTTGCGTGGCTCTGATCCGGGCTTGGGGTATTTTTTCGGGACGAGCGGCTGCGCACGCCAGCTCCAGTCAGCGGAAAATCAAAATCCGCCCGACCCGCCGCAGCGTTTTGGGCGCGCGAAGATCGCTAGGAGTACATGGGTTGTGACGGAGGCATCTGTCTTGCTTGGTGTTTTTGTTGGGTTCAGGTACGTCGCATTCCGTGCCATCGGATGCGCACACGTCGTAGGTGCCAGAAGCGTTCGAGTCACCCTCTTTGAAGTCATTCTTCCAAGTCAGCTTCCCATCTGCGTCTTCTGTGGCCATGACCTGGATCATGTTACTCGACTGGAAAGTATGTGTTGAAGTTGACGGCTGGGAAGGAG